GAGCAGTGAGACAGGGGGACCTCATACCATCAAGAAAGCAGTGCCAGGAGCACAGCGCATCCTTTGGACCGGGGTCCCTGCGCAGAGATGCTCCTAGTCTGGGGGAACACTGATGAGAAAGAAGGCCGAGAGAGAGAAAGCCTTCCCCTGGAGCTGACGCCCTGAATTTGGATTTTAGCCTACTTTGTGAGGAAATAAACTTCTCTTCGTTAAAACCATCCACTTGTGGTATTTTTGTTATGGCGGCACTAGATAACTAAGACAATAACTGAGGAAGCGTTAACATCTGCTTCTGGTCCTTTGAGCACCCCTTAAATTGCCTTGCCTCGTGTACTAACCTTGGTTTCTAACAACTTTGAATTTTCGAATTCCCTGCACGTTTAAGGAAGAGTTAAACCCAAATTTCACCCTAAGCACTCAGAAAAGGGTTGTTCTGGGTGCACTTACTACTGCTGAGCAACAGACAGCTACATTCTTGGATTAGACTATGCTGAATAAGGGGTCATGAGAAAATGTTGTGGGTCAAGTGCTGGCTCAGTGGGCTCAGCTAAGTACCTGATCCTGGGCCACTGGATGGGACAACAGGAATTTGTGACCTGAGCAACTGCCTCCACTGAGCTGTGCAGCAGAGCCCAACCTAGCCAATACTATCACTCATGGCCCATTACTGCCCTTCGCTCCCAGCTCTCCCAGCTGGAGACCCACAACCACAATACTTGTGGCATTGCTATTCTTGACTATGAGACAGAACCTGTTACATCAGCCCCTCCTACTCCTGGATTTCTCAAAAATGATCCATCTATCAGTTTTCAGGGGCCCCTGGTAGAGCAGTGGTTAAGAGCTCAGCTGCTAACCAAAAGGCTGGCAGTTTGAATCTACCAGCCACTCCCTGGAAACCCTATGGAGTGGTTCTACCCTGTCTTATAGGGTCACTATGAGTTGGAATCCACGGTAACGGGTTTGGTTTTGGTTTGATCAGTTTTCAGACCAGAAGGTAGAAGATTAGACTATAAAATCAGATGACAAGATCAGGGCACCTAGAGCCCATACTTGCTAAAAGGAAATAGCTTTCCATACTTGCTTTTTGTAGTAAAGTTTGGTCCTCCACAAGTACTCTAACACTAACTTCAGAAAAGGGACATCGGTTTACTCTTCCTTCCACCAGGGCAGAGTGGTCCTGTGAGAGAGACAGACAGGTCTGCCTACGTTGGTAACAGCGCATCCTCAATACCACACCAACTAAGATTGTTACCTTCTCCTAATAGCTCCAGACTTCCTGGATCAACCCTATGGAACCCAAGACTTCACAATACCAGATCTTTGGGGCTCATAAAAACTGGATCAAAAAGTGTGACAAATAGCAGCTCACCTCCCAGTCTCCTAGCCCTTTGGGATTGCTCATTCTGTGCAATGCCCCTGCCATCCTACAGCTTCTAATGAAGTAGATCCTGAAAGCCTATCATGCATATGTGTAGGCATGTGTGTAACACACGTGCACATGTGATCTCCACATCTATTCACCAGGCCCAGACTCCTACAGACCTTGTTTCAGATAAGCTACAACAGACTATCATCATCTTTGAGCCAAATATGCATTCTATATAAGGAAATTAAATTCCTGACCACACTGTGTTCTGACAAGGAATCTAAATACGGTATCAGTTGTACTGAAATAGGTGGCTGCTAGAATAATAAAGCATATATATCAGTTCCTGGGGTTGTCATGGGCATTCATTTACTCAAACAGCATCTGGGGAACAACTATGGCCAAGTCACAATGCCAGATTTCAAGGATAAAGGTTGAGTAAGAGAGTCTCGGTCCTCAAAAAGCTCACAATCTATCTAGACTAACAAAAAAAAGCAGGTTATAAATGCACAGTATAAAAAAAGTACTATGATAGGAATAGGTCTTGGGACATTTTGGGTAGATAAACTCCTCCATCTCAAGGTAGAGAGGTCTGTGTGGGTTGGGGAGGATGGGGAAGGTTCAAGGAAAGGAGTCCTTATCAAGGCTATCTCTAAATTGAGCCCTGGACTATCAGCAGTTCACTCCTGAAATGCTCAATATTTGGCCTCCAGCCATCTAAAGAAAGGAAAGAGGTTTGTCTGATCCCCGGCTGTGACTTCTCTGCAACTCAAAATCCCATTCACTTCTGCTCCATCCTAGTCAACCCAACCCAACCTGCCTGATATCATCAAAACCAACACCTGCACCTGCACAGTAGGGATCAGCCAGTCGCAGGAAGTCCCAGACAAGAACCTTCTCACTGTTCGTCTCAGTCATCTAGTGCTGCTCCAACAGAAATACCACAAGTGGATGGCTTTACAAAGAGAAATTTATTCTCTCACAGTCCAGTAGGCTACAAGTCCAAATTCAGGGCATCAGCTCCAGGGGAACGCTTTCGCCGTTGGCTCTGGAGGAAGGTCTGTGTCATCAATCTTCCTTTGGTCTGGGAGCTTCTCTGCGCAGGAACCTCAGGTCCAAAGGACACGCTCTGCTCCCGGCACTGCTTTCTTGGTGGTATGAGGTTCCCATGTGTCTCTGCTCACTTCTCTCTTTTATATCTCAAAAGAGATTGCATTAAGACACTAATCTTGTCAACCTCATTAGTATAACCTCATCACAGTGATAGAATTTATAACACATGAGGAGCTCATATATAATCTCATCATAGTGGTAGAGTTTACAACACGTAAGGAAATCACATCAGATAACACAATCATACAATACTGGGAAGCATGACCTAGCCAAGGTGCTACACACATTTTTAGGGGGACACAATTCAATCCATGACACTGTTGTATGCCTCCTTTTCTGAAATACTGCTCTTGGCCATACAGGCCAATCAAATGAGATATGCTGACATGAAAATGGTCTCTGAAACCCTGAGAAAAACCTTGAAGAGTCCCAGTAAGCCATGATGGTTCACCGTAATCACCACAAATGCCTTTTAATCCCAGAAACTCACCCCACACCAGAACGAGAACCTGCCCTATCCCTGACCCTTTACACCAAACATGCTCTCTCTCCTGCCTGCTGTAAGGAGGACCTAAAAGCCTGCTGTACTTTATAATCCTCCTCACATGTACTGCCCAGGATCTTACTCTCTTGACTCAATGTTCCACCTTCTCATATCTGCTTGTCTCCTTCAACTGATGACCCTTTCAGATCCCATTCTTTGGTTTCCTAATCTCAGTTTTCTGCCTGACTCTCTGATGGACATATTACCTTAATTTCTGCTTCATCTACAGCTTCAGGTGACATATACTGAAGTCAGGACCCCAGAGCACACTCAGAGACCAGACGAACCTTCGTCTCCAGCAACTCCATGCTACTATGACCATCTAACAACTGGTGGATATATTTAAGGTAATACTGTTATTAAATCAATGGTGAGTCTTAAAATTGATGACATCATCATTGTTGTTCAGTGCTGTTGAGTCAATTTCAACTCACAGTGGCCCCATGTGACAGAGTGTAACTGCCCCATAGGGTTTTCTAGGCTGTAATTGCCCCGTCTTTC